CACCCCCTCCTTCCACCTCCCTCTCCTACAGAGTTTATAACCTCCTGTGAAATGCCTTTATTTACAAATTGGCATCCTATTATAATCTGAAATTGAGACATCTTCCTGTGGAACTGGGATTGTATATTTGTCCCAGGGATAAACAATTGCTTGGGAATTTTTATTTTATTATTTTTTTTTTTTCTTTAAAGTCACTTATTCTCGGTTTATTTTTGAGCATACCTCCTTTGAATTTTTTTTTTTTATTTTTTTTAATTTGCTTTAAGCACCGCGAAGGCTTTGCCACCCTTTTCCTTCCCCAACCTCCTTGGAGATGCCCAACCCCAACCAACCCACCCTGCCCCTACCTCACAGTCCCTTACCTAAAAAAAAAAAACCCCAAAAAACACCGTCCCCTCTTGGAAAGGACAAGGTTATCAGGGGTTAACGCCAAGATGACAGCACTGGAGCCTCTGGAGCAAAACAGGCTGCCTGCCAGACTAGGAGCCTCCCGGCTCGCCTCGCACATCATCTGACCGTGGCCGACGGGGAGGAGGGAGCCGGCGCTTGGCACCGACCCCGGGGCTCTTGGCTTGGCCACTCACTCCGGCTCCTTCAGCCCCGTGGGGTTGTTTTTTTTCGTCCCCCGACACGGCCGGGATAGTCCCCGTGATGCTGCGGGGATGCTGGGGGCGTCCTCCTGCTGTCTTAGCTAATTAAAATCCCCCCCAGAGCAAAGAGGGACCCGTTGGATAATTAGGTCTAAGTGCTCTACAGGCTTTTGATCCTTGCCTAGATATTCTCCTAGGATGGATTTGGAAAAAAAACCAAAACAACAGGATGGCAGAGGCCTAAAAATCTCTTTTTTTTTTTTTTTTTAAATATATATATACTTTTATTATTTCATTGGGTGGAGGATTGGATGGGTTTGATTTTTTTTTGGTCTTCCTTATCAAAGCTTTCCACCACCCGCCATCTCAAAGCCTGGAAACAGAACCTTTTACGATCATTAAACTGCTTTTTTCCCCCCCCCCCCCTTCCCCAAATGTAATTGTAGCCATTTAGTTTAATGAGGAGCTGATAGGAGAGTTGACTCATGAAGGGATACGGTTAGCTACCCAAGCCCTGAAACAAAGCCGAATGCCTCCACATGAAAGAGCATTTGTTTTGAATTTGCTCTGATTTACTGGCATCTCCCTTCCGCGCGCCGAAGTGCAGCCCTGAAAATTCCCAACTGGAGAGACCCAGTCGAGAAAGGAAAACAAACGCACTTTTGCAGCAAATCCTCCAAATCCCTCGCTTTCTCCTCCTTCTTTTCTTTTTTTTCTTTTTCCTCTATCTCCCCCCCCTGCATATTTTAGTTAGAAGAGCGTATTTGAAGAAGGCTTTAAGGAGTTACTGGCTTGGTCTTATCTAAGTTTGGGCAGATGAGCATGGATGGTGCTAGGTGGAGAATCCAGCATCCCTCATCCCCTTCAGACCAGGGCTGTCCAGGCTGGATTTGTAGGTCCTT